TATATATATACATATATATATATATGTGTGCTAAACACCGTCACTATATTGCAGTTTTCCACTATGTCACAGCATACAGAATCAAAGGTTTGCATTTTTATGGAATGTATCCAAGGTAACAGCACCACAGTAATACAGTTCGTAATCACACACCCTGATAATTATTATTATTATTTTCTTTTCTTTTTTGACAAGCATTACCCCCCCACACACACACGTCCCATGTTTAATTTTTGTTTTAAGTACCGACGCATGCAAAGCATTCCATTCCCAGAAACAATGCAAAAATGAGGTAATAGGAGTAATAAAAAAAATTAGTATTAATTTCTAAATAAATAAATTATAATTAAAAATGCAAAAAACAACTATAAAAATAATTAAATAAGAACCCACAATATCTACAAGTTAGTCATAAATTATGATTGTTAAATATAAGGCATTTAAACTCACAAAACCCTGTAAACTATCAATGTTTTGTTTCTAGAGAATTTGTTGGTGGTGGTGGTGGTGGCTTCTTCTGTTTTGTTTTTAATTCACTCTGTTATCGCAATCCGCTCGCACAGACTCTTTAAATGCAAGGGAACCTGGCACACCGATGCAACTTCAGGCGCTGTGAGTCCTCACGCACCTCGGCATCCGTCATTCACACGAGACCACGGGAGCTGGGTGCTTTTCTTCACCCATTTTAAAAACTGTGCTTGTTCGTTAGGCAAAGAGTAATACTTTCGCATAGGCTTTAAAAAAACAAACAAAAAGGAAAAAAAAGGGGGAAACAAAAAAAAGAAAACACCCACGTGGGTCGGAAGCGCTCGTCTCCTCCCCACCGCGCGGCTCGCCCCAAGCGAGGGCCGGGATTTGCTCTGCTCCTTGCCCTGCAGCCTGGCTTACAGTGTATATTAGAAGCAACGTCTTGCTCTTGCATCAATGTTAGTAGTGGCATTAGTAGTGCTTTTAACGCTGTTTGCATCTGCTGCTGCTGGAGCGAGACCCACCGCTCCCCACCGACCGCCTCTCGCCCCGAGGCTCTCGACCCCCCGACCGTTCCCGGGCTCAACCCGC